CCCTCCCCTGAGACTCCGCCTCCTCCCTGGCCTGAGTCTCCAGCTCTATCTCCCTCTTCCGGGCATTTTCCTGGAGCTCAACAAATGTCCGGTAAGTCGAGTTCGCTACGAAATCGCAAATTTCCCTCCTCAGAATGCTCAGATACCGACTCATACGTGCCTGCTCGGTAGACACGTGCTCAGGGCAGAACAACGCCCTCTCATGGAACATCCTCGTAATCACTGTCACTGACTCTGTCCTCTACTTGAGGGACAGAAAATCTTGGGCCAACCTATCCCTCTCCACCGGGGGAACATACTCATCTCGAAACATAGCAGTAAACCTCTCCCATGACACTGCAGTGAGATCTGCAGAAGTGAAACTGGCTGTCACAAACTTCCACCAGTCCTTCGCTCCCAAGCGAAGCTAGTTCAGCGCGAACGGTACCCTCAAATGTTCTGGACAGGAACAAGTGTAGAAACACCCCTCGATGTCAGAGATCCATCTCATCACGACAATCAGATCCTGAGTTCCGTCAAACTCTGGTGGCTTCGTGTTGCTGAACTCCCGGTACATCAACGAGTCACCCCCCTGTGGCCTAGCAGCAGCCGCCTCAGTAACAGCAACATATCGCTCGTCAAACGTCTCAATCAATGTGGTCTTAATAGACCCAAACATCTCCGGTATCGCCTCTCGAATAGCTGCGGCCACCTCCTTGTGGATCATCCTGCGAATCTCCTCGTCACTTGTACCACTGGTACCGCTGCCCCCTGGGTTGTGGCGCGTAACCACCATGATGTCTCTGAAACACAACATAAAATAATTAGAGACTCGCTCGAGTATACTCACACTTGATCACTCGCCCCTACTTGTTCCTTAGCACCCTAAGATTCTTACTTGGACTGTTCACTGATCCGATATTTCTAGTAGTACGGGCCCAACACTACCTTCCACACTGCATCCATGTTCATCCCAAGTCTTCCTCCTAGGATTCTAGATCACAAGTACTCTATATCTCATCAAACACATACTACTCTCTTAGTAGACCTCTCATAAGCTCATCTCTGCTACATACTCGTACTCAAAGCGAATCACAGATAGCAGTAACCCCTAGGCTAAGGCATCACAAATCAGGCCACTCTAGTCCTAAATATGAAATACCTAGCCTACTCTCTAGCATCATAATATATCTCATAACATCCCATAAATATCTCATAATACTGAAAGTAAGGGTATTTTGGGAAAATCACCGTTCGGGCGCTGGCTGATTGTACACACTGCTCTTTCTCGTTTTTCTCTTAGAAACTCTTACTCGTTTTAGAAAAATTGTTTCTCTTGGAAAAATTTCTCAAATCCTCAGTTTGAGTCCAGACATACCCGAAGGTGCATCCGAATCCCTCAAACCAAGGCTCTGATACCAACTTGTAACGACGTAATTTTTCAAACCAAAATTTCATTTTTAAAACACATAAAAATCATATATTATATTTCATAAAAATCATAAGTGTCTCAAAGTCAACATAAATCCACAACAAAAGTCAAATCCCAGAATCCTCAACATAATCTCGAATAGGTGTGTACAATCACGCCGGTGCCTTCCCGCGATCCTCGGAAGTACCTGAAACACATAACACATAACACGGTAAGCATAAAGCTTAGTGAGTTCCCCAAAATACCACGCACAAATAATTAGTCACTCGAGGCTATAGCTCTGGAAGACCCTCTGGTCAATGTGTCTCAGTGGGACCCTCCAGTCCCACGGCTCGTTGGACCCTCTGGTCCGGTCTAAGTGAGAACCCTTCGGCCTCATAGTTCGTTGGACCCTCCGGTCCGGTCTAACTATCACATAATATAGTACACAGTTCATATCACACATAACATGCATAACTCAAGTAAACACATAAGACCCTCTGGTTACACATAATTACCACACCAGGTAAATTATAGTGAGGAGACTCACCTCGTAGCTACGAAGTAATAGACACGTACACGGAAATCTCGAACTAGCCTCCGCCTAACATATTAAATAAGCATCTCTAATCAATATCCCACTCTTACTCAAATACACCAAAAGTTCTCTTACACTCTTTCTAACCCTTGGAATGGGTAAAAGACCATTTTATCCCTCCCTTGTCTCAAATGCTCATACTTGACCCAACCATAAGTCAACAGAAGTCAATACGAGTCAACAGTCAAAGTTGACCTAACTCGCCGAGTGCACTCTTGTGACTCGACGAGTCCACTCGTATCCTCAGAGCTCTTCCTAGGGTTTCACTGAGCTCGTCGAGTTGACCCCCAACTCGACGAGTTATCACTGGGTCCAGAACGCTGGGGCAACCCGATCCGACTCGTCGAGTCATCTCATAGACTTGGCGAGTTGACTCATTCAAATTCTCATTTGGGCACCTGAGGTCAGATCTGCAACTCCAACCTCTAGATCTAGCCTCCTAATACCCAAAAGTCACGTAAAGGTTTGATCTTGATGACCATGCATGACATATATTGCTCTATATGCCATCACTACTCCATTAATGCTTCCAAAACACAAAACTCCTTGGTTGATTCACTAAGGCTCTAAACTTTTGGACTCTCTGGACCTCTCAAGGTCCAGATCTGAAGTCTAAACTCGAAAAGGGGCTTGATGCATCCATAGCCCCATTAAGAAGGTGTTACAAGCCCTAAATCTCAAGAACATGAGATCCAATCATCCTACAAGAAAGGTAAAAGCTTTTTACCTTGATCTGAAGCTTGAGATGAAGAAGAAACAGATCTACTGGCCCTCCCTTCTTGATCTTTGATGGACCTTCCTTCCTCTTCAAGGAAATGAGCCAAAATGAACACAAGATTAGCTATCCTCACCACTCTAGCTCACTATGGACGTTAGGGTTTCTCTCAAGGGTGTAAGGGTTCTGGTGAGATGAAATGGAGGCTATAAGTGCCCTTAAATAGGTCGCAAGCCCGAGAATTTAGGGTTTCCTTCAGCAGCGCTGACTCGGCGAGTCGCCTCACAGACTCGCCGAGTCCATTCATTAATCCACGTCACTAGTCGCGATTCTACTCGACGAGTTGAGGCACCAACTCGTCGAGTCACCCCACAAATCTCAAATTAAATGATAAAATAATATACCTAGGAATCCGGATGTTACACCATAAGGACCCATAAAGTTGCCAACTTTATTCCCATCCAAACCTCCACAATATGAAGAAAAAGGAACAATAAGCCTAGATATAGAAGCTAGCATCATAAAGTTTGGATATTGAATACTTACAATGCTCCGAAAATGGATCAAACTCAAACTCCAAGCTTGCCAATAGGTCTTCAACATCACAAGGGCCTTCTTATTCTTTCTAAGGACACCAGAACTTCAAGAATATGCTCTAAAATGAAGAGGAGGCTATTATGGTTTGATCAAAGCTCTAGAGGGTGATGGAGGCTAGAAACGAATCCCTAAATCCGAGATTAGGGGCTTAAATACGAAGGAAATCATAAAAGATCATGGGTTTGGGCTGCTGCCCTTGTCACGTCGTGACCATACACATGCCACGTCGTGACAAGCCTCCAGCTACACGTTCTCATTCTTTACTTGTCACGTCGTGACATCCTCAAGGTCACGTCATAACTCATGGTTTTTCCCAAAAACCATGCCTTTATCTCCTAAAGTCCTACATTGAACCATTCTGGAAAACGAGTGTTACAGAATCCATTGTGTCAGTCCGGAACGTACGATTGTCAGATTCTGAACCCGATACATTCAAATGACCGCAAGTCCGGAATGACAGTAACTACTCCAGAATATAATATTTCGAAGAAAGTGATCATTTTTCAAAAACAAAATTTTGATTATTATTATTAAAATACTCGTTTATATGAGTTAGATTTCTCAATTTCCCTTATTTTAATTAGTAATTACTTAAAATATATCAATCAATTATAATTATCAAATATTTTGATATTGAAGTTCAAATTTGTTCTTACATTCTCATTTTATTTGAGATTCTCTGTTAATTTATCTTTTATAAAATAATAAAAATAATAAAAATGATTTTGAAATATTAATATTCTAATAAAAATTCAGATTAGGTTGAGTTGCTAATAACCTAACAAAAATTATAACGATTAAATATTCAAATTAAAAAGGAATACTTTTCTAATAAATATTTGGTCGACTAAATCGTCTACAATATATATCATATTTATGTTTGTGTATATTTAGCTCACAAGAATATTTCAAATGTAGACCCAATAACTATCTTTCCCACTTTTTTGTTGACTTCTACCGTAAAGTCCAAAACAAATTGTTCATACTTAAGAGAAGACGAGACAAGTAGAAAACAAATTTGTGTCTAAGGTGTTATTTACATTTCGTCCATCTTACTTTCTATAATGACATTTTGGTACTTTAGTTTTCTTTCTTGGAAACATGTTTTTGTTAACAAGTTTTATAGATAGTTTGGATCTTCGAGAATGCTAGGCCTTCAAGCATCATTTTATTGGTGAAAACATAAAAACTTTGAATTATACATGTTTATGATACTATCTCTTGTTCTATCACAACGAGCCTTAGCTACATGCAATGCTTTTTTCTACGAAAATATTCTTTCAATTTAGACATGTAAGACACAATGGTTACTCTATTCAAACTTATTTTGACAGTTTTACAACTTTATCTTAATAGTACAGAACCAACAACATGTAAATAAAATTACAGAAGGGACAAATTGCCTTTCATGACATAGTCTATAGGATATTGGACCTTTTGTTTGACCTGTGTAAACATTGATTGTTTTGATCCTTTCATTTTGTCACATTTGATGGCTAAATATGTTTATAGAATGTGATTTCAATCATTACATACAATAAAATCAAACAAAACAAAGCAGAGATATATATATATATATATATATATATATATATATATATCTATATATATATATATATATATATATATAATTCATGAATGGGAAAAGACTAAAGAGTATAAGAATAAAACCTAGTCAAATAATCTCACCAAACCCACCAAACAAGTTCAGTTCTCATCCAAAAGACTTGAAATTAGGGTAGGCGACATATTTGGCTATTCGGGGCCCATCCATTATCCCTTTTTTTTGACTTGTGATCAATACAACACCAAAATTTTCATTCTTATAAGTTTTTGAAAACCAAACAAAACTAATAAATTCTGTGCAACTTACCTTCCCCGTTGATGGAGCAAGTTTGCATCCCATTAAAATCCCCATTTTGTCACATTACCGCAATTGACGCGTAGATTAGATTTCTAGAGAGGGGTTGAAAGAAAAAAGAGAGTCAGTTTTAATGCTCAGGAAACACATGTATATAAAAGGAATAGCAATTCTTAGCCTTCCGTGATCTATTATACTTATATACAAAGACAAACCTGTTGAAAGAATTAAGCATGACCCTATTGAGATTCGCCTGATTCTTGATCTGGGTTCGACTGAAAATTTCAAATTGTTTTTTCAATGGTTTCGGGTTGTTAAAGTGGTGTGAGAAATGGGTTGTGTGACATCGAAGCAGGCAGTGTCTGTGACGCCGGCGGTTGATCATTCTGGGATTTTCCGGGACAATGCAGCGGTGGGTTCTGGCCGGAGCTTAGGTGGTAATGGTAATGATGTGGTTGCGGAACTGGAGAAAAGCAAGAGCAAAAGCAAGAGCAAGAAGAAGAATAAGAGGAGCGAGTCAGGGTTGAGTGGGATTGGGAGCGAGTTGGGTGACTCAGGGAGAGCGAGTTCCACAACTGGTGGTGGTGGTGACTCGGTTAGTTTTAGGTTGGGGAATTTACTCAAATATGTGGAAGCAGAGCAAGTTGCCGCCGGTTGGCCTGCGTGGCTCAGTGCGGTTGCCGGCGAAGCCATTCATGGCTGGGTTCCTCTCAGAGCCGAATCCTATGAGAAATTAGAAAAGGTCCATTTCCGATTTCACACACACACACACACTATGTGTTCCCAAATTAGCATCTCCTCTTCTTTCATCATATTCTTCAATATTGCTGATAATGATTTTGCTTTAACAGGTCGGACAAGGTACATACAGCAGTGTTTTTCGTGCTCGTGAGCTAGAAACGGGGAGGATAGTTGCCCTGAAGAAGGTTCGATTTGACAATTTCGAACCTGAAAGTGTTCGATTTATGGCAAGAGAAATAGTGATTCTTCGAAGGCTCGATCATCCAAACGTTATGAAACTAGATGGGATCATAACCTCCCGGTTATCTTGTAGCATATACCTCGTTTTTGAGTACATGGAACACGATATCTCCGGTCTTCTTTCTTGCCCCGACATCAAATTCACAGAATCTCAGGTTCTTAATTTTTTTTTTAAAAATTATTTATAACTTCAAAGATCATAGAGGCAAAGAGGTTGACATTTTTTTTGGTTTCAATCGTGAATCAGATTAAATGCTACATGAAACAATTGTTATCTGGGCTCGAGCATTGTCATTCGCGTGGTGTAATGCATCGCGACATTAAAGGGGCGAATCTTTTGGTAAATAATGAAGGAATTATGAAAATTGGCGATTTTGGGTTGGCCAATTTCTGTAATACCGCCGGTGACAAAAAACAGCCATTGACGAGCAGAGTTGTGACTTTATGGTATCGGCCACCGGAACTTTTGTTGGGTTCAACGGATTATGAAGCTTCTGTGGATCTATGGAGTATTGGGTGCGTATTTGCAGAGCTTCTTCTTGGTTCACCTATTCTTCAAGGAAGAACCGAGGTATTTTCACTCCCTTTGACTTTCCAAAGTCAAACAACTACCTTTCACTTTCAACTTCCAGTTTTTGATTTTGAAGGGGAAAAAAACATGATATAGGTAAAGTAAGGAATATAACCAGTCCCCATCATCAAAAAACATTTTGCTAAAAAGATTAAAAGCTTTGTGACAAATTTAAGTTTATAAAGTTCCATTCCATGTTTGACTCTCAAGATAGTCCACTTAGATGGAAAAGTCATATGTTCCATTGTCGAAAAGCTTTTTAAGGCTAGTTTCGAATTTTGATGATGATCGTGGAGAGGGCATTTACGTCTTTTGCCCAGACATAGTACAATATGTCATATCATGTGCTGTGTAACAAATGGAGTCTTAGGTTGATGATGATGATAGGAAATGTTTGCAGGTTGAACAATTGCACAAAATCTTTAAGCTTTGTGGTTCGCCACCAGAAGACTACTGGAAAAAGTCAAAACTTCCTCATGCCACCATGTTTAAACCACAGCATCCATATGAAAGCTGTTTACTTGAAACTTTCAAAGAGTTGCCTAAATGTGCTGTGGATCTAATCCAAACATTGCTGTCTGTGGAGCCATATAAGCGTGGGACTGCCTCTTCTGCTCTTGCAACTGAGGTACTGTTGGCTTCTTTTGACTTTCAAAGTCAAACAAACAACATCCAGTTTCTCAATCGATGTGATGTGTTTAACTTTTCATGAAAAATTCTATTAGTAGATTAAAGTTTACTAAAATTAGTATAAAAGTATGAAAGAAGAGTATGTAGCTAGCGGCTATACGTTTGGTAAATGCAAGTCAATATGCTAAGACTTATTTTGCAACAATCTTTGATGACTACAGTATTTCAAGACAAAGCCACATGCATGTGATCCATCAAGTTTACCAAAATACCCACCCAACAAAGAGATCGATGCAAAACATCGTGAAGACTCAAGAAGGTAACTTTCTCATTCTGATCACATTGCATACTTGCCATTTTGATTCTACATAAAATGTTCACAAGTCTGTAATCTTGATTTCAATTTGTTTTCATGTGGGTTACATATACTGAAATCGGAACATAACCCTTTTTGTATTTGATCCAAATTATCATATGAAATTGAGAAAAAATTCTTGTCTTTTTTTAGTAAAAAGCCGGTTGGGAGAACTCGTGGACCTGAAGTCTCAAGAAGGTTAGCCAGAAAACAGAATGGCTCGACTAAATTGGCACCTGAGGAGGTATGTCTATATCATCCTACTTGAGTTTTTTTCTATTACAACATCATATTTTCATAATCTTATCAACAAATTGAACATTTTCTACAGAGTCTGCCGGAAAAAACTCAAACCCGAGTTAAAATCAATGGAAATAGTTTAGATACTAAAAAAGGAGGAGACATAATCTTGGGTTTTGAGGTAAGAAAGCCATCTGTAAACACAACAGACGACAGTTCACACACAAAACACGCGTCTCAAGGAGACATTCCGTATTCGGGCCCTTTACAAGTTCCGGGCTCGAGTGGTTTTGCGTGGGCCCGCAGGCGATTGGATGATTCGTTATCGATACAATCACGCAGCCGATCCAGCTCAAGAAGCCTGATTTCTGAACCTTCAGCCACTACACATTTGAAAAACTTCGAGTCCAAGTGTGATGAGTCCAATGAGACAGGGGCCCGTGGGCTGGTTATTAAGAACTGGAGCCAATTGGACCAGCCCAATTCTTACGATGCCGGGTCGGATGGGTTTGTGAAGAGAATGAATATGGTAAGTCCAAAAGGATTTTTTTTTTTTGAGGTTTCATTTGGTATATGAGATTTGAATGTTTTAAATGTTGTGTGATGTGACAGGCTTATCAAGATCAAGAAGAGAAGGTCGAGTTTTCGGGACCTTTATTGACTCAATCACACCGAATTGATGAACTTTTGGAGAGACATGAACGCCAGATTCGCCAAGCGGTTCGAAGATCATGGTTCCAAAGAGGTAAAAACTCATGGAGCTTTCTAGGGCTATTTTTGACAAACAGCATTTACGTTTTTTGCTGTCCCATCTTGTTCCACCTTTTTGAGCAGGACAAATTTTTGTCCCTTGATATCGGTCCTGGTCTTGGTCCAATGCATGTCATGTCAGACACAGCACAAACTGTTTTGTTCTGTACACTGTCCTATCACGCGATAGACTGTAAATCCAACTGTAATTATGTTTGTGCAGGGAAAAGAAACAGCTAGCAAACGGAGACGATTCTTGACACTGGAACACTAGAAAATGATTTTTTAAAGGTGCAAAAACTTGAACCTTTGGAGGATGTTTAGGGGACTAAATCAATGACACTAAATCAATGACAGTTTGCCGTTAAGTAAGCTTGATGGTCCATTAAACACGGCTCAATGGGATTGGGTGTAGAAAAGAGAGTTGATGGATCATAATCTTTCCTCGTCGTCCAACCTCTATTTAGTAGCATTTTGATTATATATTTATTTTGGGTATTTAATGCAGACTCACCTTCCATCATTCCTCTCTCTATATATATTACAGTATGTACATGTTACTGTTGGAGGAAGTTTTTGTGGACGTGACTGTAACACACTAAATTTTTCCAAATACCAATTTATATAAAGATTTGAAGTTGACATAATATTAAATGTAGGGCTGTAAACGAACTGAACGTTCAACGAACTGTTCGTGAACCGTTCGGCGGGAAGTTCGTTTATGTTCGTTTATTTAATAAACGAACGAACATGAACACAAATTATCGTTCGTTTAGTTAAACGAACGAACATGAACAATGGTCTCGTTCGTTCAATTATGTTCGTGAACGTTCGTTTATGTTTTTCGTTTACATTCGTTCATATAAGTTCATTTTATATTCACATATGCCTAATTGTGTTTGATTACATTAGTATATTATATGTTAATTTATGTTCATATATCTTCAATTATGTTTTTTTATCTTTGTTTATTTATGGTCGTTTGTTTATGTTCGTTTAGCATGTTCACGAACATGAACCATGTAATTTATTAAACGAACGAACACGAACAAGGAAACTCGTTCGTTTATCCGTTCGTGTTCGTTTATTTGTTCGGATAACTTAAACGAACGAACATGAACAAGCCCCGTTCGTATTCGTTCGGTTCGTTTACAACCTTAATTAAATGGAGTATAGATGAAGTTCCTTAAGTTTAGTTATACATTTTCAACTAATACCTCAAAAGAGTATTACTATTTACTACATAGCATTGAACAACATGGGAGTGACCCATGCATGACCATTGAATTGGTGAGGAGCAGAAAGATAATTCAGTATTGTCATTATGTTGTGCTCTCATCCATCATTTGTAGGCCAAACAAGTACTTCATGAATATGACATCTGAATTATGATGTACCGCTTTTACCGTGTCTCACAAGATATCATAGCCCAAGACGTCAACATACACCTTCACACTAATATGGTCTGGAGTAACTTTATTTATTTATCATTTATGTACATCAAATTAATAATTGGTATAAACGGTTGCCTGTTTTCATTGATAACACAAGATATATAAGAGAGTACAATTCGAACCCCGATAATTGAGGGATGATTATCTACAAATAATAATCATAACAAATCAATATCTTCCCCCAATACACCCCCAGGGTTTAAAATGTTCAAATTAAAGTTCAAGAAAAAATTGTCGTGGTAGACCATTAGTGAAGATATCAACATATGAGTATATGGAAGGTATATGTAACACTCGAACATAACCGAGAGCTACCTTTTGCGAACAAAATGTATGTCAATTTCAATGCGTTTTGTTCAATGGTATTAGACAAGATTTCCAAACAAAAAGATGGTTGAGAAGTTATCACAGTACACCAATTGGCTCTTTGTAAAGGAATGTGTGGTTTGAGGACAAGGTTTATTTGCCAATAAGTTTTGGGGACTACATTTCCACCCTCGGTACTTGGATTTGACACTACACTGTGAGAGGGAAGGTTGACATTTTGAAAAAAAAGTAAAACACATCATTTGAGCGGCCCACGTCACCCCGTCCCAAGACCGACGTGAGAGGTCAATAATAAGATACTAGTAATATTTTGGTTGTGTCATGGTTTGAACCCTAGGCCCCCCTGTATGTAATTCCACTCTTCAACCATTGGGCTCCCATTGCGGGGGCTATGTTGACATTTTGGCTGATCACATGATAAAGTTATCACCCAAGAAGACACAATATCCAGAAATAGATCGTCGGGTGTTGAGGCAGCCACCTCACTAGCGTTGGTCAATCATATAATTAGTTAAGTATGGATGGATGGGTAAACATGTAAGCGGAGTTCAAGTGTTCCCTTAAGGTACTTAATACTACGTTTTAATACATGATAATGTTGTTCATGTAGGGCGTGTATATATAAACAAGTAGATTTGTTGTATCACATAGGGTATGTACGGTCTAGTGAGGATGAGGTATTCTAAAGCGCCAACTAAACTCTGATAGATGGACATATCATCCATCGAATCTCTAATATTCACACTTAGTTTGGAGTTAGTGTCTATCAGGATGGCAACATGTTTGTATTTTTTGCATTTTGGCCTATTCTTTTATATCTTCAGCATACTTGTGTTTACTAAGAAACATGCTTTTGGCCATACGAGTAACCAAGATATCTAAGAAGTAAGCAACGGACATTAAATCTGTCATTTCAAATTATATCTAGAGAGCATCGATGATCTTGTCTTTAAGGGTTTGTGATGAGGCTGTGAAAACGATGTCGTTGCCATATGAGGAGATAAACAAGTTTTGAACTACGTCTGTCGTCTGTATATGAAAAAGGACATGTCACACTTCATACAAGTAAAGCCAAGTTTGAGTAGATGTTGGGTAAACTGTTGATACCAAGCCCGTTGGGCATGCTTTAAGTTGTAAAAAGGGACTTATGAAGCTTACAAACATGTCTAAGACAAGAAGGATTGAAGAAAGGTGGTTGATGCATGTATATTGTGTTTCATGAAGGTCATCGTGAATGAATGTATATTTGATATCTAACTTGTGTATTGGCCAGTGACAAACCGTATTACTGTAGAAATGCTTAGGACAAAGTGTATGTATATTTCAATGTGTTTTGTTCATTGATATCACACTAGATTTCTATATAAATAGATGATTTAGACGTCACAATACACTGGTTGACTCTTTGTAAAGGAATGTTGTTGGAATATTCACTATCCAATTTCATAACAAAACAAGTGCATTGTTTTTGTTTTTTTAATTTATGTTTTTGAATTTTTCAAGAGTTTTCACTAAAATATCCTTTAAAAATGAAAAAAAAAAAGAATATGAAGGTTTTTATACATCAAGAAACGTGAGTCTCACCAAATATGCAAAATTGATCTTGTACCTTCGAAAATGCCTTAAATGTATATTATTTTTGTGCTTTCGTAAGTATTATGAATGACCTCTATGAAATTACTGTTATTTCTATTCATGCTTTGATTTTTATTTATGTAACGCCCACAACTTCGGGTTGGACAGTCAAGGTTTAATAAGCAATAAAACGACTTTTGATAGAATGTTATTTAGGACAAATAATTTTGATGAAAGTTATAGTATACGTAACAAAGATTCTGTATATATAAAGAACCCTGAAATCTAACTTCGTAGGAAGAAGTTATGATTTTTTCAAAGTTTCAACACAGCAGTATGCGACACATAAACTTAAATTAAGATCGGTCGATTGTTAGGAAAAACGATCTTAACAAGAGTAAAAGATCTCGTTATTACCTATGTGTCGATATAAAGACAGTCGAGAACGGATATTGTATGAGAAAGTTATGATTTTTATACAGTCTTTAACAGTCTAAGCCTGTTAAAAATATAACTTTAAAAATAAAGTCAAATTAGCCGACGGAGTTTAAATGAAAGTTGTAGATTTTGTCGATAGATATGTATGGATATAACATACGTCAAAAATGGAGCTCATATGAAGATGATATGAATTCTTTAGAAAATAAGATTTTTCGCACGCAGTCACGCGCACAGATAAGAGGCGCGACACGCTTCTGACCCACCATAGAATTTTGACACGTGTCACCACCCAGATGACGCCATGTCAGCACTCCGACAATTTGTACGACGCCCCCGACAGAGTGGTTGGCACGCTTCTGCCTTTCAGCCCTATATAAATTGCGTTTTGCAGCCTCATTTCTCACCCTTTCATCCAAATTCTCTCTAAACTTCTCTTGTATCTCTAGCTCATTGCTCTCTAGTTCCCGACCACTTCGGCGAAATCCTGCGGTGTCAAATAGCCGGGGAATAGAAGCTCCTAGATTAGAGTTTTGCCCACATAATTCTCGGTTTTCGCTCAAAGCTCTGTAAGTTAAGCTACACTTATTTTATTAAAGTGTAACTTTTAATTAAAGTCATAGTTGTTATTATGAGCCTATAATTAATATTTATATGTGATTCCAAGTCATTATACTGATTTATCTTCTTATGAGGATGATGTCTAAGCTGAATTTAATGAAGTGTTTAAAGTGAGATTTCCAAACAGTATACCCTATATACCAAACGGTCCCTACCTCTGATATGATCCTACCTGGTTGTTCCTTACTTGATAGATCTTGATATAGACATTGGCATTAGTGAGGAATCTAGACTATCATTAGTCGTTAGGAACATAAAACTAAGACTTAGTAATGTGAACCTATGTCACGTCAAAGGAAAAAGATAAGTACCAATATGAAGTTCTACTCAAATTCCGAGGCATCTACTTTTATCAAGCGAGTGCATAGTTACTTTCATCTTACACATAGATATGAAGTGTTTAGATAATTGAATTCTATATGTGCTTATGTGCAGAGATGTTGTATGTTAGATGAAATGTTATAAAGATAAATTTATATGATTTATACCGTATATGTATTTTTTATGAATATAATATATTGGGTAATGAAGGTAAAGAAAGGTAAAAACGATAAGATTCTATAGTACGATGAAAGAGGAAAATGGCGATAGGATGTCACGACTTTAATAGTATTACTATACTAACGATGTAGGAACTAGTACTATTGTACTAATGATGTAGAAATTAGTACTATTGTACTAACGATGTAGGAACTAATACTATTGTACTAACGATGTAGGAACCAATACTGTTGTACTAACGATGTAGTTATCTAATAGAATATAAATGGCAACCACGATAATTACAATGATGGTACTTAAGATAGGAGATACTAGGATGGGTAATCGGGTTGATTGTTTGATACAAAATAAATACATTAAACAAAATTAACTATATTATTGTGGGTTAAAAACCCTATATACTTACCAGGTTTCCCAACCTGACCCACTCAGTTTCCTTGTATCACAGGTAACGGGACAAAGGTACATGAATGCTGAAAGATTCAAGGAGATATAGACTGATAGCCTAAGATAGTGTAGGGTCTGTTTATGCTTAAATTTTGTATCAATTATGACATCCCAAGCTTTTATAAATCAATGAAATATATTTCTTCAGAATTACTTTTACGGGACCAAATTTCGTATTTATAAATAAACTC